CTAAATAATTTTTAATTTAATCTATGTATGTTGCAGATATATACTAGGCAGTACGACGGTTTGCGCGACAAACTTGGCAGGCGCGGTTTAATAGACAATGACGGTGACTTTATACATTATAAAGTTTATACTAAGTTTTATTATTTATATTATAAAGTTTATATTATAAAGTCATTGCCATTGTCTATTAAACCGCGCTTGCCCATGCAAAGTTTGCCGCGCAACCCGTCATACTGCCTAGTATGTATCTGCAACACCCTATACACAATTTATTATATATAAAGAGATAATACTAGTTTTATATTAAACATCTGAATTCCACAAGAGATCTAAATGATATACAGAGTCAAGCATTGGCTGCATTCAGCTGAAAAAAATATCTTCGTTATAAAATTCATTAATATGATTATTAAAGAAAAAAACTTATTGGACCGCACATGAATACATAATAAAAAATAAAAGCTTTTAACGGTCCAAGCTGAATTTTAGCTGCTTAAATAATTCGATACTACATATGTCATCATAAAAATGATTATATATTTAGATCCAATAAAGAACTATTATAGATAAGGACAAGAATAATATCAATAATCATGTTAAAGAATTTTACAATAGTTGCAATAAAGTTGCTTATTCTGCTGAACGCAGCCATCCTTATATTTTTAAGTTAGATTTATAAACAATAACTTTAGGAAGTGAGAAGAAAAAAGAAACTGTGAAAAATGGATATTGCAGCATCGCAAAATAATCTGCCATGTAATTAAAAAGTGATTAATATATTTTTTTTGACAATATTCTTTTCAACAAAAGAACGGAATCAGATGTAGAGTCTAGAGAGAGAGAGAGAGAGAGAGTTTATAAAATAAACGATGCACAAATTCCCAGCCCAGAATTGGCCTGAAACCGGGTTTAAATCTCTTTAGTCAACCTGACCCCCCCCCCCTTCTGCCGGCCAACCCCTTTTGTCTTGTCGAAACAACAAAACCTACGAGGACAACCGGCCGGAAAAAGACGAAGAGTCTTATCGTTTCTTTTAGCTCTGAACGTTCTATGCGTTTTGAAAAGTTTGCAATAGCTATATACCTTTGGATACCATACTGTGAAGTTATCCCAGCTTTCTTGTCTGCTGTCCATCCTTAGTTAAACGCTTGTCAAGCTTTTTTCTCGTTCCCTTTTTACCCACCTAGAGACCGGATGAACGAAACTATCTCAAAATATTTTTCGCAAGATATATTATATATAATATATATATACTATATATTAGATTTCTATTTTGTCCTTATCCCTCCATATCAGACTTGGTATTTCAATAGAAACAATTGCAGTTGCATTAAAATGGTATTTATCTTCGTATCTTTGATCTAGCAGCATTAAAGAACTTTCTTTAGAGATAAAAAAATTCATTTATTATCATAATGTTTTTCAAATATTCCTCTATATTTTTAATTCCTTTAGTTTTTATTTTTACATATCTATAAAAATATACGTGCGTGCGTGCGTGCGTGCGTGCGTGCGTGCGTGCGTGCATGTGTGTGTGTGTGTGTGTGTTTTACCAATTGTGTTTATAAAGTAACAAAATAACGAGATCTAAAAGGAAGAGTAAATAAAACCTACGGTCATATAGAACTGGCGTTAAGCAGAAGTTTTTCTTCCTTTTTAGAAAGAAAGAATCTGATTGACATATAGCAAGGAACGTTGTGCGATATAATGAAAAATTTTCAGTGTTTCTTTTTAAATGCAAATTCTTGAAATAAGTACGTAGAATATCAAAAATTTTCTTTTCTGCGTGATACTTTGCTAAATGCAAATAGCTCGTACTTATATATTGTTCAAATTTATTTCTACCTAAACGATTTATCAAGGCCGTATAATATGAATACACAATAAGTAAGAAATAAAGCCTACATGGGGCATTCCAAGCCAACAATCCAAACCAATTTTTCTTTTTTTTTTTAATAGAGCTCAAAATGTAGTCCCAGGTCTCTACTTTGTTACTCTAAAAGTATGAAGCTATAAAATCGTTTTTTAAAAATGTTCTTATGATTTTTTGTTCCTGAGTTACTTGCGGATTAAGTAAAAAGCAAATTCTGATTTTATCGTTCGTAATTCCGTTACAAATCATCGTATCGCAATTAAAAATACAGATTCTTAAAGCTAAACGTTGCTCTATCAAGTGGTGTTCCCAATTTTTTTTAAATAGAATATATGGATTGCTAAAAATGTCTTTTCACCAACTTGTAAAGACTTTTTCCTCGATTTAATATATATATATAT